CCCCTCCCCGAGCTCTGGCGCTTGCGGGCAGGGTGACGGGGGGGTTGCACGGTGGGGCTCCCGAGCAAGCTGGCTGGCAGGGGAGCGCGTGTGCCCCTCATTCCCGAGGCATCTCGGTCCTGGGGAGGGGAGCGACATGCACCGAAAGACGCTGCGAGAAATGAAGCTTTGAACCCCACCTCTGCTCACGCCCGAGCCTCCAGATCTGCTCGTTGCTGGGGCCAGTAGCACTAGTTCCCAGGGCCTCTCCCCTGGGGCGTGCAGCCTGGCACCCTGCACAGCCGGGAGGTGGCTTGTTTCTCCTTCCTTCCTTTTGGAAATGTGTCATCGCCATTGCACAACTGGGCAAGTTGCAGATAATGCCTGGTTCCAGTTTTTGGGCGGTGTGGCCTGCCTGCCTTATCTCTGCACCAGTGCACACAGCAGTCTTGCCAAACACAGGGACTCAGAGAATTAAGCTAATGCAGCGAATGCTTAGAAACTATGGCCTGGCATTCTGGGTCTGATATCTATTACTGATGTTGATTGGAAAAACTTAAACAACAACAAATAGCCTTGCAGCACCTTGGAGACTAATAATATGTAGATAGTATCTAAGGTGCTGCAAGACTATGTGTTGTTTATTAAGTTTTTCCAATTACAGACTAACTCAGCTGCCTCTCTGGTTTTACCTGTTCCCCACCCCCAAAGCATATGCCTACACACACAATGACTATCAAGTTCTGCAACTCCTCCCTTGCTATCTTATGCACACCAGAGACTCAACAGGGCGTTGAGTCCTCAGTGGCTGTGTTGTGAAAATAACGTGGTCTGCTCAGATCGCCCCTCGTTCAGAGCATTTGATTTGTCCATACCTTTCAAAGCTAGGTTACAATTGTCCATTTCTGTTTCTCTTCCCCATCATCATTGGTATTACAAAAGGTAGGTAGCCCTGCTCTACGGCAAAGACATGATGACACCAGAGCTGTTTGTTGCATGCTGCTCATGTAGGTCAACAAGAGAGAAGCACGATCTACCACTTAGGAGAGACACTGATAACTAGGGATGTTAAATTTCGATTAATTAACTAATTGAATAGTCGATGGGATTTCCATAGATTAATTGGTTAGTCAATAAGCACTAGCGTGGTGTTCGCCTTTGAAATGTACGAGAGCCCCAATAGGGGCTCTTGTGCATTTCAAAGATTGAAAAGCTGCATGAAGCCTGGAGCTAGTGGGGAATCCTACTGACTCCGGGCTCCATTTGGGCGCTTCCACTTTGGAATGTACAAGAGCCCCACCCTTGTACGTTTCAAAGATTGAATTGCCATGTGGAGCTGGGTTCAGAAGGGGACTCCTAGCTGGCCCCGGGCTGTACACAGCATTCCAACTTTGAAATATACAAGTGTCCTCGCTGGGGCTCTTGTACATTTCAAAGTTGGAACGCAACTGCTGCGCCCTTTCCCTCTCCCACGGAGCTGGAGCTGAGGGGAACTGGCTTTTTAGTTGGCTCCCCCCAGCACCTCCGCGTCTTCCCCTCCCCGCTGCTTCTTTGTGATAGAGGTAGTGGGGAGGGAGCGATTAGTTGACTAGTGTGTCGATTATCCGATAAGCTTTTGCTTATCGGATAGTCGATTAGTCACTTAAATTCCTACTGACAACCCCATGGCCAATCTCTTCATCTAACATTGAAACTAATCTTTACATAGGAGGGCTATATGGAGCAGGGTAGTTGGCAGTGTTTGTTCCTGGGTTCTGATTTCCCACAGTGAGGCAATTGCCTTGGGGTGAGAAATGTTGCATCTTTCAGAAGGATGTATTATCTGCCTGTCTCCTCTTTCCAGGAAGAGGTGAGCTATGAAGAAAGAATGTGTGAAGGTGGGAAATTTGCCACCGTGGAGGTAACTGGGAAACAATTTGATGAGGCCTCCAAGGAAGCGGTGCTCAAACTTCTGAAATACGTGGGAGGAACCAATGATAAGGGTGAGAAACTTTGCTGACTTCCTCTGCTTATCTGCTAGTTTCCTCTTGTTCATCCCTGTGAAGAATGTGTAGTTGAGTTCTCTAAAGGACATTCATATTCTGCAGTGGCTGCTTAGGGGAACTCCCGGTATGCAAGTGTGTATTTGTGTGTGTGGTTTCTGCACTTTAACTCACTGGCTGGGTAAGCGACCCACCCATTTATGTGGTGATGGCAGATTAACTTTATAGCTTTTATCTTAGCTCATGTAATTGCACAGGGTAGTCTAATTAATCATAGAGTGTAATAAATAGTAAACTTACTTTTCCTAAGTACTTACAAACATTAATTTCTAATTTTCATCTTACTAAACGAAGTGCTTCAGTAACATCCTACACGAAGGGTGTGGGAAATCACAGGGTAATTATAAGTCACCTAGAACGATGCAAGAGCATTTTTTCAGATGTCCGAGAGAGGCAGATACACATTTTTAATCATAGAGTGTAATAAATAGTAAACTTACTTTTCCTAAGTACTTACAAACATTAATTTCTAATTTTCATCTTACTAAACGAAGTGCTTCAGTAACATCCTACACGAAGGGTGTGGGAAATCACAGGGTAATTATAAGTCACCTAGAACGATGCAAGAGCATTTTTTCAGATGTCCGAGAGAGGCAGATACACATTTTTCAGTACACGTAGCAGGGAGAAGGGGAATGCTGCACAGAACAGCAATTGCAGCAGTGCAGACAGTCAGTAAATATGATAATCAGGGTGACTGGATGAGTGAAGGTACCTTTAGCTGTAATCCATGGCACCAAAATGAGTAGAGCCCAGCGCAAATAAAAATTTCTGCCCATAGATGTGGATATTTGCAGTTAAAACTTGGTATCTGCTGAACTACTGGGCTCTAATCCCAAGATACACTGTGACTAAAGGAGAGGAACTTGGCACCATTGATCCCAGGAGCCGGCACTGTGCAACTGTACCACTCCCAGCTCCACTGCAAGCCAGACTGTCCAACCCCACATAGGAGATGTGGCTGGTGGCAGGGCTGAGAGTGGGACAGCATCACAGATGGGAGGAGCTGTAAGCAGAGAATGTTAGCTCCTGGGATCAGTGGTGCCACATTCCTCTTCTTTGCCCACATTGTATCCTGGGAGTACTGACGAAAAGTTCTATATGAGAGCTATGGGGTAGTTGTTTTTCCGGTACTTCTCTTTGAATGATTGAGGTTTCACAACCAGTGGCACCCTGGAGAGAAGGAAAAACAGTTATCACCAGTGTGAGCTGTAGTCATAACTTAATATACCTTGAGAGAACAACAAATTAGTAGCTTCAGGGGGTAGCTGAGTTAGTCTGTACAGAAAAAAACAACAAATGGTCTGGTAGCACTTTAAAAACTAACAAAACTTGTTAGTCTATAAAGTGCTACCAGAACAAATTAGTAGTTTGCCATGCTGGGATTTGGTTGCTCACAGTCCTGGCTAGAGCTAGAGCAGCTCAGAGTTCTGAATCATTAGCTCTCACAGGGAGAGTTTTGTGCCCCCCCAGTAGAGGCCTGTAGGCTGCTCATCCTTCAGGGCCTACGCTGATTACCTGGAAAAATCTACAAGAAATTTCCCCCAGTTGATCCTGTCATAGGATTTTAAAATACCTGGCACTGGCTACTGAAAGACGAAAAAGGGTGTTGGTCTTCCTGATATTGAAATTCCTGTGCAGTTTGATTTTTGTGAGGTGTTGAGCTCCGGCAGCTCCTGCTGATTTCATTCTGAGTTGCGAATGTTCCCCACATCTCTCAAAATCTGGGCCATAATGCTTAGTTACTCAAGGGCCTGGACTGCACTTGTAATACCTCTGTCTGAATCTGTCGTAGGGGTTGGGATGGGCATGACTGCGCCCGTTTCTATCACTGCCTTTCCTGGTGAGGACGGCTCCTTACAACAGAAAGTGAAGGTCTCACTCCGGATTCCAAGTCAATATCAGGACAGCCCTCCATGTCCTGGTGATGAAAGCATTCAGATTGAAGAGCGAGAAGGAATGACCATTTATTCCACGTAAGGGGCAGATCTCTGTGTTCCGGGTCTGGATGTTTTAAGGAACAGAGTGTTCTAAAGAATATCATTTAGCTTTAGCTTTCTTTGACCGGGTAACTAGCCTTGTAGGTGGGGGAAAATGGTAGATATGATATATCTAGACTTAGCAATGCTTTTGATACCGCCTCACATAACCTTGTGTTATGCTTATAAAAATCACCAGGGATCTTTTTCAGGAAAATAGGCAATATGCCACATGTATTGAAAATACAGCTTTAAAAATCAGTATGTGCATTCTCACATGTGCGTGCGCACACACAGATCTACAGATTGACTTAAGACAGGATGGTCTTACCAGCCTATTTATGGCCACTTAGACTGTGCTTGAATGAGGAGCTGGGTTCTGTCACTTGCAATCTGATGTTCCGAAGTATTGCAGCATGCACCCAAAGAACCATGGCAATACACCCTACTTTTATACTTGTAAATTCCCATTTGAGTCTGTGGATTTTGCTGTGTCATGCTGTGACCGTTAATTCTTAAGCAGTGTTTATCCCAAGGTTGTTCCCATCATTATCCTTCATCAGCATTTTGGTGGTTGTCACATCTACCTTTACCTGTTAATTTTGTCTTTGGGGGTGTATTGCCCTGGTCTGTACACTCTCCCTGAAGCTGAGGTACTGACACTGTCAGAGACAGGACACTGGGCTAGATGGGTCGGTGTTCTGACTGTCTGGTAGCTCTTATGCTCTTAAAGTTGCAAGTTAGTGCAATAGGGGTTATAATTTGTGTGTATATGGAAGAAGTGAACACCTGCCTACTAGGAACAGGACTGAGATCATCAGCTTATTTAACTTAAGCCAGTAAATTGCTGTCAGATAAGAATAACTTTCAGGCACTATCTGGTTGGTGCCAGGGTCCGAAACCTGTTGCTAACAAAAGCAGATGTTTTGAGAATAAGTTCCTGGTCACTTCCAATCAGGCAGCTCCTGTAAACTGAAGAGAGAGAGAGAGAAGGCAGCTCCTGTAAACTAGAGAGGGGGAGGGGGACCGAATAAATTTCAACTGCTGTTTACAGTAACTGGTCTGGGCTGTGAACTCCCTAGGAAACAACTCTGTTGGCCTAACTGGCCCCTGGGGTGTCACTTTTGTGCCAAGGATAACCATTGTTTGTCCAGCTGCTATGATCTGGCTGCCACTTATGAATGGCACTTCAGGCTGGGCATCTCTTTTGGGAAAGAAAGGGCTGGAAATAGACACAAAGAAGTAAATGTGATGTTAGCAGAACACTGCTCTGCCTCTCATATCAGCCCTTCAGATTTCTGTGGAAATTATTGATAAGATGTTGGCCATAGAATGCTAGAGGGTATACCAGGGAGAGAGTTAGGAACAGATACGTACTGGTCACGGTCCATCAGCTATCTACCCCAGGGGTCAGGGGTCAGATAGTGATACACGGTAAAGTAGACTCTATAAACTAGAATCAAGCCATCAGTTGCCATTCAGGATTTAACAGCCATTGGACATTTTACTTTGATTGCTACACACACTTGTGTGGGATTCATATCTGTTTCCCCTTGCTGCGATGTTTCTGTCTGGCCTGGCCTTTTCCTTATAGTCTGCTGGCTCTTGCTGGGTGTCTGAATGCTGCCACAATCCAGCTCTGGTGTTTGGTTGCCTCCCTGAAGATAGGCTGCATTGTCACAAAGACTGGCTACAGCTTTGGGCAATGAGGTGGAGGCTGATCTGGAGACAGCGTCCGCTTAGCAAGAAGTTTACATAGCAATGTTCAGTCCCGGGCCTTTCCTTTTGTATGTTGGTATGAGCTGCATGCGGTGGGCTGTTCCTGCAGTAATCGGTAGCAGCCCTTTGTAAGTCTTCTCTTACATGAACTAGCTGGAGTTTGGCATTCGGGTTCCAGCAGGCAGGTGCTCACCTCACAATTGACATGTGGGTTGGAAGGCTCAGCACAAAGCTGAGGAATTGAATGGGCTTGGGGAGATCTACCTCTTCACTCCAAGAAGCTTGGGGCTGAGAAGTAAGGCTGGGCACTGGAGGCTGGTATAGGTGATCCCCTTGCTTTATATATCTGTAGGTGACTAAAGCTGCCTAATCTCTGGGGCTGCCAAACCAGCATCTTTTGGCTGTGCTAGATTCAGCCAGGACAGCTCAGGAAAAAACCACGGGATGCATCCACATCACTGTGTTTTGTAGCATCTTGTTCCCTCTTTCTCCTTTTGTCACCATATTTCAGGCTTGTCCCACTCAGCGTCTCCATGTTTGGTTCCTTTACAGGCAGTTTGGAGGTTATGCCAAGGAAGAGGATTACGTGAATTATGCCGCCAAGCTGCGCTCCGCCTTGGGGAGCGAGGCCACTTATCACAAGGACTTCTACCTGTGTAATGGCTATGACCCCCCAATGAAGCCGTATTGGCGGCGTAACGAAGTCTGGTTTGTGAAGGAGTGAGTCACTGGCTCACTAAGATGTAGGCCAAGGCTAATGTCTTCTTCAGCTTGTTGCATGTAGGTGGAGTCCTTGCCCTGTTCCAGACAAAACCACAGGCTTGCAGAGTCAAAAAAGGAGGGGGTGGGGAAGTGCCACCCTTCCTGGGGTCTCAGTTATTAACAAATATTGACTCTTAAAATAATACAACATGAACCTTCCCCAACAAAGCCTTCTGCCCAGGCTTGTCTCTTCCTAGGATCCCCTGGCTTTAGTATCTGTCCCAAGAGCTAGTTTCTTCCTGTTTCCTAGACTCCCTTATTCTCAGGTGGGGAAATGAGCCAACTGCACCAAGAAGTGCACAAAACTCGCTAACTGGTCGGTGTTGTGCGCACTCGCTCACAGCCTCTGCCAGAGGAGAGAGATGCCTGTTGCCAACCAAAATCTTTCTCACAAGTGGCTTTTCCACTCTGATTGGAAGTTACAATAGCTTGATTCCATGCTACACTGATGCTTTAGCTCTTCCATTCTGAGAGAGAGTATAGAGGGACTAGATTGCTGCTGCTGAGGCGCTATGCACTGAAGAGAGCATCATCTCCCTTTCCTAGCAGTGCACACGGTGGACGGCGTGCCAACAGTCTGATTCAGAAACGTGTTCAAGAGGAAGAACCAAGATTATTTTTACAGCTTTCTGACTAGATTAAGATGGAACTTTTCTGTGTAAGCTGTTTTCCTGTTGCAGCTACTCACTGGATTGTGCATGATAGAAACCTGTGGCTTTTCCTTTGTGTCTCTTTAAGTGTTTATAACTAGCCTGTCAAGGGGTCACAATTGGGCACAATAATGAAATCTGCATTGGCCTAAATGTATAAGAGGGATAATGATTCTCAAAAGTTAATACCTCTTATGTAGGCATCTGACTTCCAGAAGAGTGTGCACACAACAGCTCCCTTTGAAGTGAGTGCTAGCTTTTTGGCTCAGCTTTCTTGAAAATACAGATTTGGGTGTCTAATTTGAGGTAGTCATTCTTACAAATTTTGTCATTCATGTATATATGGTTATAACTCATTCTAGGGACATTAATTTCTTTGACAGATACATAGCAAACCAGCACTTTAGCTGTCAAAACTCCTGCCAGCCAGATGTCGGAAAGTCTAAGACAGGTATAGACATGTACTACACATCCACAAATGTCTCTCTAATTTCAGCTAACTAAGAGAGACCTTCTTATAATGAGCATACTAAAAAGAACAGCTTCTTCCTGAAAGTCAGAGGAGGAGCTATTCAGATGGAAGCTGGGTGCTGGCTACTCAAGGTATCAGGGTGATCCTTTTGAAAGTTTTTTCGGGGAAGGGGAAGTTTAAACTCCTGATCTTTCTCCCACTGAAGTTCAATAAGAGTTTTGAACTTCAGTGAAAGCTGACCTCAAAACAGTTTGCTGGTGCAGTGAAAAGAATGGATTGGTAGCTTATTGGTGTAGAAGAGAAGAAAAGCTAGAAATAACCTAACAGTTGTCTAGAGAAAGACATGAGAGTGTAATTCCTGAAGGGGAGATGGACCAAAAATGAATACGTAGATCAAGGTATCTTATAAAGGTGAGATTTTGCTTTTAAGAGTATAAAACAATAGGTGGGAATGAATATGAACTGTGAAAGTTCTTCCTTTAAAAAGGTCTCCACAACAAAAGGAAACAGTGTACAGAAAAGGTTATTCTTACCTAACCACATGGGAAATGGAGGGGTTGAGTTTATCTTTGTTTCTAAATTCTAGGGTTTATTTTGGGACTCGTGCACATATTTTGCATGCAGTGTGGGCACTGTTGTCTCTGACTCGAGGCGACAGATGTGCTACAGTTGATGAATGCTAGAATATATAGCAACTAATCATAAACCCAATGCGATCACGTTCCAGGCAACAGCAACAGTCTCTAAGAGATGGAAGAGTTCACAAAATGTATAGCATCGTCCTGTCATCAAGCAGTGAGTTTGTGACTAAAGATTGATCGCTATAGAGTCCCATGCTTTGCCTCCATAGACTTCCTAGGGGTCAGATTTTGATGTCCTTATGCAAATTCAGCAGAAATTTATCCCATGAATTATGCCATTGATTTCAGTGAGAGTATTCAAATTTAATAGCTCCTTCACAAGCAAAAGTATCTACATTTGGCTTTCCCCTTCTTTGCAATATTTAAAAAATGAGTTTTTAAATTGTAACTTAGAATTTTGTGATTTGATTAAAGGATCTGAGAAGACAGTGGGAGCTTTAAATTGCTTAGCTGCTTTCCTGTTGCAATTGGAAAAGCAGACCATGGATGAAGGTGCTGCATCATTGATTGAGGAACCTAATTTTAGGTTGCTAATTCATTAAAATCTTGGTGTTTGAATGTGTGTGTTTGGAATATAGATCATGTTGCAAAACCTTTACTTAGCCACTAATCCCTCTCTAAATAAAGACCTGTTTTGCCTTCTGTTATTTAATTGTATGTGAGGATAATGAAGAGTTTATATGAATCTCTGAAAGCATCTTACATCATAGGCCCCAATCCCTTAAATTCATACATAATTTTACTTATGTGAGTATCCCTCTTTAATATGGGGCTACTCACTGAAAGTTACACACTTGCTTATATTTACAGGATTAGAGCCACGGTGTCAAACATGTCATTTTATACACTGATCAACTCCTTAATTAACTTAAAAACTGCAGGCACCTCCCTCGTTTCTTTTGTGTTCTGACATTCATCATAGGAGACTAATACAATTAATCACATCAGAATATTTCATGTTACCTCTTTTGTGCCAGTGAGGTGCCCTGATTTGTGCTTCACGTTAACACTAAAAATTACACATTTTATGCTGTTTTGATCTTTAAAATTGAGTGATATTGTTAATAACTGAGCATGCATTAAAAAAACATTAGTGGAAAATAAAATGTAAAAGGAGACTGTTTCTATTGGATGATGAAAAACCAGCCCCATTTGGGTTTTCCTTGTCAATTTCTTCTCGTGCCTTATGTTTAAGTGCCAAAGATTGTTTTTTATTATTGTTTATATCCCCTTTTGTGTACTTCAGATGTTTCAGTTCCCAGTTCTTTTTCCCAGACTCAACTGCAAAGAGTGAATTAATTGGACACTCACTTTGTTACTTAATGGATATTGTTGTGCAGCCAAAAAGATTGAGGAACCTGAATCCACCTCCCCATTAAATGGGAAGGAGATGTATGAAGCAATTTAGTCTAATAAACATCTTGAACATTTAGTCTCTTAAGCCTCACCGAACTTCTACTCTGCAAAAGCAAATATATTTTTTTTCTTGTTGAATAGAGATAAATGACTCTGCAGATATCTTAACCAACTCTTTTGTGCTGTGTGGCTGACCAGCCACAAAGCTAAGCAGATTGCTTCTCTTGTACTGAGACAAGTTGCAGTAATAGTATAGACAAAATGTGATGGTCTACATTCAAAAACATAACATAAATAGGAAGTGCCTAATGGACCAGTCATTCTGGCTTGACCACACTGGCATGAAAAGGTGACTCATTATTCTAGTCCTGAAAACACACATAATTCCATGCAGTATTGCTGTAGTTGTGTTGGTCCCTAGATGTTAGAGAGACAGAGGGGTGGATGGGTGATTCATCATTTATTTGACCAACCTCTGCTGGTGAATGAGACAAACTTACAAACTGTGTCTCTTTTCAAGCTGATAAGCTGCGTCGGCTTGAAAGTTTCTCTCACCAACAGAAGTTGGTCCAATAAAAGATATTGCCTCATCCGCTTTTTGTCTCTTAACACATAACTTAAGTAACTTAACTCATGAGAGTTTTCCTACATGTGTGTGTGTTTATAGGCTCTGATCTGAAGTTTGCAAAATTCAAAGTTTTGTTGGTGTGCGAAGGAAGGACCTGTTTTGACAACACATGCCTAATATTGAGTTAATAAGATAATTATATAGATGAGAGAGCTAATCCAAGGGGTGGACCATCCAATTTTGGGACGTCTTATGATAGTCTACTCCCACTGATGGAAGGAGTGATTTTGGATGGGCAAGCAACATATTCAGGATTTTGTTTGCATTCTCATCAATTGTGATGAAGATTTTATTATTGGAAATGGCAAATTTTGCAAGGTTTGCAAGGCTGCCTGCGATGTTCCTAGACTGCCACTTGACTAGCTATAGTTGCAATAATTTCTCGTGTATAATAGGATTATCAAGTGCAACTGCTGCTCTTCACTAAGTATTTCGAGTTCATGTCTCTAAAACCGCATCACTTCTCACTGGACTGCGAGCAGCCGTAGATGTATGATACCTACTATAAAATTGTTCCAAACTTGATTTATTGGAGTCGGATCACTAGCAATAGTGTCATCCTCAACAGTGATAGATGGAGCTGCATCAGTCTAACTACTCAGTCTCTTGAGTGTTCAGGACAGCATCTTACTATTTTTGTCAGCCCATTTGTATTCTTTCTGCTTAGCGCTATATAAAGTACACTGCACTCACATTAAATCCTTGTTTCCTAGTACTCTGAGTTTTGAATGTTTTAGGGGGACAATTTGTATAAATACTGTTTGATTTCTAAGACACTTTTCTTGGAGCTAGAATTTTAGAAGATTTTCAAACACAAATAGAAGTTAGACACTAAATTTCTATTAAAAAGAGAATGTTTGATTATGCTATTTGTATCTTTTGAAAATATCCATTTTGTGTTTGTTTTTTAATACCTATTGTGGAGACAACCACCAAACAGTTATTTGTCCCCCATCGAGTTTTTTAAAAGCTTCCCATTCCAATCCAGAAGTTGTAATAGTGCTTGTATTCATGTGAATACATTCTCTCATTTGTGCATGAGAAATAATAGAAACAGCTTTGATGAAAGAAGACAGCTAGGGCAATTTTTGATGGAATATAGTCAGCATTACTAAATACTGTAGTTTAGTAAAAGAAGAGAGAAGACCACAAACAAACTGCATCTAAAACTCTAAAGAACATAAGGCAAAAGGCAAGCAAAAAAATTATACCCAAGATAATGTATTAAGATGTAGGGTAGTTAGCAGCATGACAGTTCTGCAGTGGTTTTCCTACAGTCAGGTTACTACTAACCCTAGTTCTTTAATAAAAGATTGAAGAGTTTCTAAATCCTCTTTATGAACAAGCTTGGTAAGGAAAAATCTAGGATCAACATTTAATGGACAGTTAAAATCCCTTCCCCAAACTATAATGTTATTTAGCCAAGGTATAATTAAATGCAAGGAGGGGAAAAACTAGGTTAATGCAACATTAAGGTTGCAGACTTAGAATTTAAAGTCACAGGAAACATACAAGTGAAGGCTGATAGACTGGAGCAATGTTACTTGACCATGTGGCATATATTCACTGTTTCTTTTGCTAATGCTCTTTATTTTAGGTTGTTAAAGCTATAGTAAAAGCAAGGGCCCGATTCTTCCCCGTCTTTCATCTTTGAACAGTAATTTGCAAAGATCTCTGCAAAGTGAATGTAAACCACGTCAAATCAGTGTGGTAGCAATTTACCCTTGTGTTGTATGGGTTGTAAGTGACTGCACAAGGCAGTGGAGAAGCAAGACCTCCATGATACAGTTGCCAGTTTTGGTTGGCTGTGTTCCAGGAGGTTTCATCACATAACATAATCTTTAATTAAAGATTAATCTTTAATTCCTTGAGTCTCCAGGTCAATTGGGAACCCTACTCCATGGATCAGTTGTGCAATGTGAGGGAGTTGATATTGCATTAACCCGTGCCTTTCCTGACTTTTTGTAAATGCCACCTGTGTAACCTTAGCACTGTAACAAAGCTTTTTTGTTTGATTTTTAATTAGAATATTTACCTGGAATTGCTTGGGTCCTTCAGGGCTGGGGGCAGGAGATGTGGGGGCTGCAGGAATCAGGGTGGCAGAGTAAGGAAGGGTCAGGGATAGGTAGTGCAGGAGTCAGGGGGTTGGGAGGAATGAGGGGCTATGGGAAGGCTTGGGGATGCAGGAGTCAGGGTAGGGAGGTGGGAGGGTTCAGGGCAGAGGGTGGGGGCAGCTGGGGCTGCACAAGCTGATCATTGATGGCTCTTTAGGGCCAGCCTGGTGTGCTTGCTGCACCCCCGTGATCTGGTCGCTGTGGAGTATAACTCTCCCTGCTCTCAGAGCCCTCCCTTTCCATTTGATGAGAAACAGTTGGATTCCAGGCACATCCCATTGTCCTAGCACAACCAAACCCTGCCTTTCCTTTAAGTTATGATAAGGGGAAGCTGCACACCAAATGTGGTGGTCCTAGCTCTTACCATTTAGGAGGAGTTCTTGAACAGACAGATTCACAGACAAACTCTCAACTCTTCTAGTCCACTATATATTTATCTGGTGTTGCCCAGGTGTGGGGGTGGCAAGGGTCGTGCTGCCCACCCAGTGTCTTCTCCCCAGGCCTGCCTGGCATGGGAGGGCACCCCAACTGGCTGCCTACCATTTTCTCCCTGGGGCTGGCATGGGTTGGCAGGGGCTAGTGGTGGCTAGCAGCTTTTCCACAGGATAAGCCGGGTTAGTGGGGGCTGTGCTGCCAGCCAGCGACTGTTTCCCGGGGCGGGGATGCTTGCTGTCCCTCTGTGGTCATTTGTGAGTATTACTGTCCCTGCTTTCAGATCCCTCCCGTTTCATTTGATGCAAAACAATCACATTCCAGCACAACCAAATCCTGACGTTGCTTTAAGTAATGATAAGGGGAAGCTGTACACCGAATTTGGTGTTCCTAGGTCTTAGGAGGAGTTCTTGAACAAACGGATTCACAGCTGGTTGGACACAGACCAACGGATGCACAAACTCTTTAAAATACATAGTAGATTTAGAAGAAAAAACGTAAGATGCTTGCCCTGAATTATATAGCATTTATGCAGTCCCCATTACATTTGGAAGAATACACCTTATTGTGGTGGGCCCAGCTGCAGAAGGGAGCTGTTCTACTTCCCCCTGAGGTGAATGGAGCTAGGGCGGGGCAGGTCCATGGTTGCTTTACCATTGCTGCTTGTTATTTCCCTTATAGCAACATTGAGAGGCACCAGCTGAGAGTAGGGTTGCCATTTTAACCAGACTGACCATTCTCTCAATGACCTTAAAACATGCATATTGCTTCAAAGAGACTTTAACTCCAGAAGTCAAAGAGAAGCCTCAGAACTGTCATTCATGCTTAAATTTGACACTTTGCGTACAGGTCTTAACAAAGATGCTAATTATTTCACCCATTACAAAGACAGCTTCCCCAATAACCACCCCTAATGCCATTACCTCACAGACACTAACCTTCCCCCCTCACCCTGACTCTGTTCTTAAACCTGATTCGTCATTTTTATGTGTTTACTTTTTTTTATTGTATCACTTTGGTATGTATGGTTGTGCCAATTTTCTTCCACATATTGATCTGAGGAAGTGGGTCTGGCCTACGAAAGCTCATCACCTAATAAAACATCTTGTTAGTCTTTAAAGTGCTGAATAGTTCTGTTTGTATATCCACAGAGTAAGAGATGGTTCCTGCCCCAAAAGGCTTACAATCTGAATAGGCAAGACATGCAAAGGAAGGGTCATTACCCTCCTTTTATAGATGGGGAGCCAAGATGCAGAGATTATATGCCTTGCCCAACATCACACAGGAAGCCTATAGTTGAATCTAGGGGTGAGTCTACACTGAGCAGCTATTTCGGGATAGCGGAAGTATCCCGAAATAGCTATTCTGCATCCATTGAAGCAGCCTGTTACTTTGAAATAGATTTCGAAATAACGGGCGGCTTATTCCATAGTCCCAATAACCCTCGTTAAGAGGAATTTCGGAATAGCATGTTATTTTGAAATTTGGCATTGTGTCGATAGCGCCAAATTACAAAATAAGCTATTTTGAAATACAATCAAAATAAGCTATGCAATTTGTGTAGTGCAAATAGTGTAGCTTATTTCGAGCCAAGGGTACTGTGTAAATGCACTCTAAGGGAGCAGGTAAAGATAGCATCTTCACCACAAAACCATCCTTTTATTTTGAGCCAAGGGTACTGTGTAAATGCACTCTAACTCTTCTAAGGGAGCAGGTAAAGATAGCACCTTCACCACAAAACCATCCTGTCCCAATAGTTTGACTGGAGAAAGTTTTCTGCCAGGCTGAGTTAATAAAATAGGGAAGCATCCCATCTGATTACATTTTGATGGTGCTATCTTGGCAACAGAAAGAGGAAAAACTTACGATTTTTCTGCAGATGTTTTTTAATGGAAGTATGAAATTTTCAAAATGTAGCAAAAGCAAGAGAGAGACGCAAATTGTGAAATCTGGAATTTCTCCTGTTCCTGGCGCTAAGACAGTGGTGTTTAGGAGGGATTTGTTCTGTGTATGTCTCACTAACCATGGAAGGAAAAGCCTTACAAATTGCCAGGGTGAGGTCTGAATGTCACTAGAAACAGGTAGAATTGAAGGGGGGAAATCCCTTTATTTTAAAGCAGTGAGGTGTAGCAGGAAGATGGATGTGTTTCTTCTCACGTCTTCTTAAATCTGATCTAGCCAAGTGTTTATACTGCACTAACCACTAGTGAATTTGAGCATCACAGAATTGTGATACCACACTCTGGCAAAGCCTTGTGGATTTTGACAGTGTATTCCCCAAACTCTGAAGTAAAACTAAGAAAGACTGTTTACCAGCATTTTCAGTTCTGTAATCCATCTATTATAAAGAACTATTGCATGACCCATGAAGTATTATGAGCAAACTCAAAATAGACCTGGCTTGTGTACCCAGGGCTTCTTTTAGTGCGGCACACTTCAACAAACATCGTACCTAGTTTCATGAAAATAAATAGATTTTCTTTACAAAGCTGATCTTTACCCCCTTTGGAATTATTTGACATTTGGAAGGTGTTTTCATTTTGCTTGGCTCAATAGGGGCCCATTTATCAGGAAGACTCTCATGCTATTATTTAAAAGTGTTATCAAAATGTTTCATTTACGGGAAATGTAGTTTTCAGTAAACAAAAGAATTTCAATCATCTTTTTGAGAAAAGTTTTGCTTTAAAAATAACAACCCCTTCCCATCCAAAAGGGGTAGTCAATCAGACAGTCCACAAGCCAAATCCAGACCAGCTGATGCTTTTGAACAGACACATTTTTATTTGCTTATTATACTCATTTTAAAATTATTTTTTTTGGAGGCTGAAGCTTGATTGTACCTTGACAAAAAATAATTGGCTAATCCTTCAGTTGGTAGTAATGTGAACAATTTTACATGAAAAATGTGGATGTAAGAAAAGTCTATTTCTTGTAACTGAAAACAAGAATTCAGAAAAACATCAGCTAGCTCTGATCATGGCTATTGTGATGGCTTCAAACCAAGGTAGAGAGAAAAGATTCAGCCTGGAGAGAAACTGGCACTGTGTGAAGAGTCTATTAAGCAACCCTGGTTTCTCCCTAGGTTGGGTTTATTTTTTTACTTTGCTACTCTTTTCCTTCTCTTGACTGTTTACACATCCCCTACCCTCCCAGCATTCAGCTAGAGAAAAAAGCATACCTGGTAGGGAGAGGTAGTACAAAGTCTTTCTCGGCATGGAGCCTCATAGCCATATCTTCTTCCTCTTCAAGCAGCTCAGCTCAAAAGGAAAGAAGATGCTGGTATGGAAGATGCACAGTTGTCTTTGCCCTGGGATTTGTCCCTCTCCCATTCAGTTACTAGATTCATGGAGATGTGCATATACACCTTACAGAGGGGGATCAGACTCATTCTGCAGTTGCTTGGTTGCAACACCTGATTGCCAAAGGAAACACAGTGCCTTTGTGGGGATGGGTGGGATGGAGCCATTCTTGCTTTGAGGGGTCTTATGAACACACCCCATTCCAGCACATTATTTAAGAGAAAGTGCGCTTAGTAGTTGTCTGGATGGAAGATTCTTGATTCATTTCCAGGGCAAGGACTGCTCGCTGTCCTGCTGCTTGGGCGAACGACCTGCTGATGACAGGATATTTCTGAGGGCCATGAGACCAGAAGAAACTTCCTGGGTCATCAACCTATTGCCCATCATAACTTTAGCTGGCTCCATTCTAAACCTAGTTCGGCTGTTTGTCTCCAGCATTGCTATTGGAAGGTTTCAACTTCAGCGCCTGGCCTTGGGAGCCGGATCCTCAGCGGGTGTCAATCAGTGAAGTGCTATTGAAGCCAATGTAATTGGGCTCATTTACATCATCAGAGGAGTTGGCCCAGA